TGTGATTCTGTCTCCATCCCTAGATTACGTGACTCTGAGAGAATCTTGCTTCACTTCCTTGACCATATCTTAGAACCGGGATTTCATCTTTGCCTGTTACAGCCAGAAATGAAGGAAAACGTTCTACGAGCTCAGCAACTGAGATGCACAGCTTATTTCTTAACATGAAATTCGAGGGAAAGATCTGGAGCTTATTGTGCTGCTATTGACATGATGCTCCATATTCTTTATGGAAATATGCTTCTGAGATGAATAGGACATAACTGAGATGTACTTTGTGCAAGATGGCTCAGGAGAGATATAATTGGAAAGTGATTATGATTTACTGAATGGGCTTATCCCATTTGTCTGCCAGTATCATTTCGGTATCTGAACTTAGGAATATTGACCATGTATCTGTATTTCAAATGTGCAGCTTTGGGTGTCAGCCACAACTAGCTCTTCAGGTCCAACAGTGATGGCCCATGAGCCCAGAGAGTGGACTATGAAAGGGCCAGTCTTCCGATGGGCACTCTAGTCAGCTTGCGAGGAATGACTGGTCCCATTCACATGGTACTGGATTCCCTTTTTGGCATACCAGTGATTTCCCTCTGGAAGGCAAAGGGTTCCCTCCTTACACCAGAGTTATATAAGGCAGGGGAGTGACAGCATCGGGGTTCTCTGCCTCCCCACCAAAAGAGACACTGAAAAATGCCTTGAAGCACAAACTGAACTGGGGAGAGAAGAATTGGGCCCAAGCTGGCAGGGAGACTAGTTTGTGAGTAATAATACCTCAGGGCTCAAGCCCCAGGCCAAGGCAGCTGCCTTTCATGACTCCCTGTGACAACATTTAGAAATTACTATTTGTAACTAACTCCTTCAGTGAATCAAGCTTAGTTTGTGCGTTTGGTTTTATTTGCTTAGCAATTGGCTTTGTTCTGTTTGCTATCCCTCATAGTCACCAAAAATTTACCTTTTGTATTTTATACATTTGTTTCTTGTTTGTCACATAACCCAGTTTGTACAAGTCTTACCCGTGGGTGGAGGGCACAAGGGGCTGTATATATTTTCCACTGAGGGAGGGAGGGAGTTTCATATCGCTCTGAGTCTACACTCCATGGGAGGTAGGCACCTGAGTTCTTGGACAAGTCCCTTAAACCGAGTCTTCCCAAAGCTGATCTCAGCGTCTGTGTCTCTCCATAGCGGGATATGGTCCTGCCTGCATGTCTGCTGGTGCAGATGTAAGTGCCTGTGTCAGCAAGACAGGTAAAAAGGGGCCCGGGCTGGCAGAACAGGTGGAGTCAGTGGTATCTCAGCACAGCAAGCGTCATCTCAAAGGGGAGCAATCCGTCACGCTCCTGTTTTATCTTCTGTTGAAAATAATGGGCCAAAGCTCACCAGGCAGCCTCACTACTGGCCCTGCCTCCTTTTGGCAGAACAAAGGCTGTGACTTTGACTCCACTGGGCACAATTCAGATTCTCTTTTGGATGCCAAGGGCATAACTCCAGAACGAGAACAGGCGTGAATAACTGGGATGATGGTTTTGACCCAAAGGGATCAGGAGACCAAATGAGCAGTTTGGTCTTTGAACTTGTCTCCCTGCCCCGAAGCCTCATGATGGGGGCCCGCTTGACCCACTGCTGCCCACAGCTGCTCATGCTGGGTGGCCTACTAAGAGATGGTTGTCTACAGGATGGACAACCTGGCACCTTTCATCAGCCAAAAATTGTCTGGAGGGAAAAAAGAAGAAAACAATAGAGGTCACTAGCTCCTGGCGCGCCTCAGTGTTTGCAGTCTTCAGCCCGGCCCCTTTCCCAGGGACAAGGAGAGCCCCTGGAGGCAGCCCCAAGGGTCAGTTGCATGGTCTACAGGGTACATGACAATTAATCTGTGAGTTATTTGATGACATCAGGCACAACTACTGGGCAATCTCCGGGAACGCGCCCTTACCCTGGATTTACATTGTCTTCACTCTCCAGTTACACAGAAGGTACGTGGTTAAATGGGTCTGCATAGGAAAATGATGCTCTCTTTTTAAAGCCCTCTCTAGTGGAAACTCAAACATCTAGCAATGAGAACGGGGAGGAAAGTGAGTCTGAGATGTCCTTACATGGGAGCTGGACGCCCTCCCCGCTCCTCTCAGCTCTGCTGAAATGTTGCCATCCTTACAACACGACCCCTCCAGGCGCCAAGAAGTGAAGGAAGCAGCTGTATGCACCACAGCTAGCCACGGCCCCAAAGGAACGGGTCACTGCCCATCTCCGGAGCCGCAGCATTGTAACCCCTAGGAGCTGGGAGCGGCCAGCGCTTGCTGCAGTTCTCATAGGCCATCTGTTTTCCCTTGGAAGAAGAGCAGCTCTGGAATACAGGGGAGCTTGTTCCTTCTGTCCCTGCCATGCTAATGCCTGGCGAAACACAAGGCAAACACCCCCCCCCCCCCCCTTACAAACGGGGAGGGGGACCAGGAACACCAGGGACCACACCCCCCCCCCCCCCCCGTTCAAACGGAGGAAGGGAAGTTCCACCGCGAAAGGGTTCTCAGCTCTCCCAGTTGCAATTGGAAGAGTCTGTAATTGTCATCCAATTGGCTGGTATGTAGCACTCGGGGCTCCTACGGGGCTGTTTGCTGCAGATTGGTCAGTGGGCACTCTGTCCTCTTTCGCGTTGGATGCTGAGAACAGTCCAAGACAGACAATGGCCTCCAGAGTTGCACAGGGAAGTCTGTTCTGAGATGCCAGTGATTAGATTAGCGCCTTCCTGTTCCGTGGTGATTAGCATTCCCACCGGACTTTCCATCTGTCCCAACTCCTTCCAGGGCTTTCGGATGAACCCTCACAGCAGCCTGGGCAGGAGGCATGGGCCTCGCCTCCTTGTGTAATGGGGAACCTGAGGGAGAGAGGTTGTGTTACTCATCCAGGGTCATATTGCATCACAGTGGCCCACTTAGGACTCAGGAGTTGCTGGCGCCCGGACACAGGCACAGGCCACCAGCCCACGTCTTTTGCTCCTTGCTTGCAGTTTTAAGATGATAAAGCATTTGCTGTAACTGCTGAGCCAGCACCACAGATCCCCGCAGACCGTGATGCCCTCAGATGTGGACAAGCCTTGTGCAGTGTCTGGAGGAAGGGCCAGGACACCCAGGGTCTGTTCCTGCCTTTGCCATTGGCTCACAGTCAGACCGTGGCCAAATAATCATCTGGAGTAGCTGTGTCTCTGTTCCCTTCAGCCTCATAAATAACAGGACCGGCACTACCCTGGCCCTGGCAGCTACTGCGTTAGCCTCAGGTGCACGTGGAGTGCGACGACATTCAAGGACCAGATCCTCACCCGGTCCAATCAGCCCATTTCCACTATTCCCAGGGAAGCCACAGTGAGGGTAGCCACTGGGGATCTGGCCGGCAGTTACATTGACCTCAAGGGGAATTTATCACAGGGACATTTCCAATGAGAAGTGGCCTCTTTCAGGCCCAGTTCATCTAGCTCCACCCCGGTGGGTTAGATTTGGCCCAGATTTGGAGCCTCAGGGCAGTAATAGGCAGGGCAGGATTGATCAGTGCACCGGTGTGTGCAGTGAAGGCTGAAATCGGTCCCATTGCACTGTGAACCCGGAGCCAGGGCCGAAGGTAGAAGCACCATGATCAGAGCTCTATTTGCCAGTCTAGATGAGTGCTGAGTTATTCCACCCCCTTCCTGCTTTTCTCCTACACGTTTCTCAGGGTCAGAACGATCACCTGGTTGTAGCTGTTGGCAGAATATAAAACCAGAGATGGAACGCGCCACATCGAAGACAATCACCGTGCATTGGTGCAGTCTGGGGGACAGATTTCTGATACCTTCTCTCCATCCATTGATGTTATTTCAAAGCGTGGAAATGCCTGAGGACTTACATGGAGAAGCTGTGCTAGGCAGAAGTGCTATTAGACATTGCAGAGGGGGAAGAGTTGGCCATTCAGGGTACGTCTACACAGCAGCATCTGCACTGAAATAATGTCGAGCTGGAGGACGTCTTACTCCGACTCCTGGTAACCCTCATTTCACGAGGAGTGAGGGAAGTCGCAGGAAGACTGTTCTTCCTTCGACTTCCTGCTGTGCAGACAGCACCAAAAGCTGAAATAAGCGATTTCCACTTAAGCTACGCGATTGACGTAGCTGAAGTTGTGTAGCTTGTGCCGACTTTAGCCCCACTGTGTGGCCGTGCCCTAAAGGAGGCCTACTGACTCATTGCCTTCAGCGTAGTTTTATCTGACTAACAAGGGCAGAATCAGGTCCCTAATGATAGTTTCTTCTTGCCATGCAAGAATTTCACACTGTTATGCCACAAAGTTCTGCTCCTGCTTCCTGGTGGAATCAATGGAAGTTTCCTATTGGCTTCAGGGAGTGCAGGAGCCCTGTTACTGAGTCCTAGCTTTGGGCCCACTCCTAATCCTTTATGGAAGCCAATGGAGAGATTCCTATGGATTTCAAGGGGCTTTGGATCAGGCCCTGGTGAGCGGCAGGTGGTTCTCAGTAAGTATGCGAGAAATGTTCATCCTTCTGACACTCCAACGGCAGAACTTGAATTAATTTGAAGGTCAAGATACTTGGCTCCTGCCAAATGTCTGAACTTGTTTCTTGAAGGGTTTTAATTCTTGTAATACACAAGTAAAGCATTTAACAGGAATTTGTAAATAAATAGCCACAAAAAAACCATGGGAGAAAGAGGTTCTTCTTCCATGGATATTTGTGCATTTTCTCTCTTGCCACAAAAATAAACTGCCTCCTTTTTCACTGTGAAGCTTCAGGTGTTTTTGGAAAATATTTTCGGTCAGTAGCTGAAAAAATGCTTAATTTAATTTCCCAATAACTCACCTGGATATTTTGCCAATTAAAAAATACATGTTTGCAAATCGAGAAAAAAAAGTCAGCGCTTGTCTTGAAACATTTTCGTGCCAAAAAATACTAAAACATCAGTTGGGCAGCTTGTTTGTGATGTCACAGATTTACATGTTATTACATCACGCTTATCATCGGTGTCATCTGAGAAATTATCCACACTCTCTGCTTCATGTGTTTCCCGTCTTTCATAGTGAATGTCTCAATATCAGGCAACTCTGGTTTCTGAGCTGGACAAACACTCAGCCAGGAATTCCTGCAGCTTGATGTGAGATTCTGGCAGGTCACTGCTCTTTGGCCTGTCGGGGCCGCACTCAGGAGCCAGGTAAGGAGGCATAAAGTCTGGCTCTTTCAGAAGGCGAAAGCGCGTTTCTCTTCTGCGAGGTCACCTGGGACTGCAGCGTGTTCCCTGGGCTTGGGAAAGCCCCGCTCAGCCTGTTGCGGGTTTTCTTGTAACCATGGAAGCAGGTTTGGGGCGGGGGGCAGGTGCCATGCTACCGTCTCAGTCACCCCCATTTGGGGGGCACATTCGGGATGCAGATTTCCTGACACCCCCGCAGGTTGCCATAGTGACAGACACACTGTAGCTTGCCCAGAATGAAAAGGCCCTTGGAGGGTCCATTCCCCCCCCACCCTCCGTGGCCGGCTGGCTCAGCGCTGTTCGGGGAGAGGCGAGTCACCGCTCTGCCAATAGGCTTCGGCCCCCTCCTCGGCTCGGGCGCACTTCAGATCCGAGAGTATCTGTCCACATGGTATGAACACAGTGACCCCCCCTTCCCCCGGGACACGTGTGTGCACAGGCCGAGCACAAAGTGCCCAGCCGGGTTCCAGCCTTTGGTGTAGACCGGGGCGATTCCGGATCAACTCCCGGCCGCTGAACGAGGCTGCGCCGGACTGATCCGAAGCGAGCAGCGGGACCGCCGCGCCGGAGCGAGACCTCAGCTGGCTCCGCTGCACCTCGGCACAGGTGTCCCACCTGGCCAGGGCCCAGGCCTTGCGGGGAGGCGGCAGTAGGAGTCTGAGCAGTGCCAGGTGCCCGGAGGGCATTTAGCGTCTCTGCTCCCTCGCCTGCAGGTTCCAGGTTCTCTGCAGGGCAGGGCCTGCCCCAGAGGTGGCTGCATCTCAGCTGGGCTGTGGGGCGGAGGCTGGCTCCAGGCACAGGATGGGGGGTAGCTTGACAAATCTGGACTTTTCTGATTGGGAAAGTTCAGGCCCTTAGAACATAAGAACATAAGAATGGCCGTACTGGGTCAGACCAAAGGTCCATCCAGCCCAGTAGCCTGTCTGCCGACAGTGGTCAGCACCAGGTGCCCTGGAGAGGGTGGACCGAAGACAATGATCAGCGATTTGTCTCCTGCCATCCCTCTCCAGCCTCTGACAAACAGAGGCCAGGGACACCATTCCTACCCCCTGGCTAATAGCCTTTTATGGACCTAACCTCCATGAATTTATCTAGCTTCTCTTTAAACTCTGTTATAGTTCCAGTGTTTATAGCCTCCTCTGGCAAGGAGTTCCACAGGTTGTCTATGCGCTGTGTAAAGAAGAACTTTCACTTATTAGTTTTAAACCTGCTACCCATTAATTTCATTTGGTGTCCTCTAGCCCTTATATTATGGGAACTAATGAATAACCTTTCTTTATTCACCCTCTCCACACCACTCATGATTTTATAGACCTCTATCATATCCCCCTCAGTCTCCTCTTTCCAAACTGAAAAGTCCCCGTCGCTTTAGCCTCTCCTCATATGGGACCAGTTCCCCCCTGATCATTTTAGTTGCCCTTTTCTGAACCCTTTCCAAGGCCAAAATATCTTTATTGAGGTGAGGAGACCACATCTGTACACAGTATTCAAGATGTGGGTGTACCATAGTTTTATACAGGGGCAGTAAGATATTCCCTTTCTTAATAATTCCTAACATCCTATTTGCCTTTTTGACCACCGCTGCTGCACACTGTGTGGAAGTTTTCAGAGAACTGTCCACCATAACTCCAAGATCTCTTTCCTGATTTGTTGTAGCCAAATTAGCCCCCATCATACTATATGTGTAGTTGGGATTATTTTTTCTAACATGCATTACTTTACGCTTATCCACATTAAATTTCATTTGCCATTTTGTTGCCCAATCACTCAGTTTGGTGAGATCCTTCTGAAGTTCTTCACAGTCTGCTTCTGTCTTGACTATTTTAAACAGTTTAGCATCATCCGCAAACTTTACCACCTCGCTGCTTGCCCCTTTCTCCAGATCATTTATGAATAAGTTGAAAAGGATTGGTCCTAGGACTGACCCTTGGGGGACACCACAAGTTACCTCTCTCCATTCTGAAAATTTACCATTTATTCCTACCCTTTGTTTCCTGTCTATTTCTGCACAAGGAGCATGAAGCAGAGAGCCGAGGCCTTGGCTAAAGTGATGGGATGAGTCAGCAGCAGTGTCCTGTTGGTACCACTCGACCAAAGACTTTCTCACAGCCACAGATGGACTCAGGAGTTCTGCTGCCAAGTCCACAGCTATAACCCTGTGCCCAGTGCCTCTCCCAAACCAGGGGATCCTAGAACACTAGAACTGGAAGGGACCTCGAGAGGTCAAGTGCAGTCCCCGGCCCTTCTGGGTCGGGGGCCACTGACCAACATAGAAATCAGTTGGGGACCACACAAGTGAGAAGCAAAGAAACTCCTCCCAAACCCCCAACCCTCACTGATGTGGCCCCCAGCTGAGACACCTTCCTCCTCTGGTGCTCCAGCCCCACCAGGCGAGGAGAAGGGACGGGAGGACTGAGGTTCAGGGCTTCCCATAGGCCAGATTTACTTTTCTGGGGTGCCAGACTTAGTGGATTTTGTGGACCCCCTTAGGCTCTGGGATGTGTGCAGGGCAGGGCTGCCAGCGAGAGGGAGAGGGATGCAGGAGGGGTGAGGAAGGCAGGGTCTGGCAGGGAGTTTGGCAGCAGGAGAGGGTGTGGGGTGGGGGTACGAGGGGGAGTTTGAGGGTGGGAGGGGGTTGAGGGAGTAACTCAGAGAGGGTGAGAAGATGAGAATGCAGCCAAGTAGCTAGTTAGGGACGGTGGCAAAGAAGTGGGGAGTAAAGGAAAGTGCAGCTTTTGCAAAGTAAAATTGTATCCCCCCCCTTACATCTTCCCTCTGCTCCAGCCTCGCTCCCCATCGCCCCTCAGGCAACCCCTGCCCTCACATCCCTGTGCCCCCAGCGCACTCACCAGCAGGGCAGCACCCCCGGGGCAAGGAGAGGCAGGACGGGGCAGAGGCTCCTCCCTGCCCAGACCAGCCCTTTGCCTGCAGGCTGTGGCTCTGGGCCAGGCAGAGCCGAGGGCCGTCCAGGGCTGACCCCAGCCTGGCCAGGGGCAGTGATGCACTGGGGAAGGGGCTCCCCACCCCTGCCCACAGCTCGCGGGGAGCAGCCCAGCCCGGCCCAGCCCAGCCCAGCCCAGCCCAGCCCGGCCCGGTCCAGCCCGGCCATCCTTCCTTCCTTTCTTCCTGAAACATTTTCTGCTGAAATCTCATTGGCAAGCGTGCTTGTTTAGCAGTTTAGTTTTCTTGAGGAAAATCTCACACTTTGAATGAATTTGGTAGAATCCCCCCATTGGAAAAGGTCAGACCCTCTTCCAATTTATTCTGGTGACAAGTGGCTGTCTGTCTGTCTTGGTTGAATGTGTGAAGGACGGGATGTAGTGTGGAAATGCTTATCCTGAAATCAAAATCAATAGATGGCTCCTTTTTTCCTGTAACCTTTAGAGAGACAATTACTTCTTCCCATTTCTGTATTTCAGAACATATTGATGACACATTGAAACTTCTCTCCTCTGCCTAAAACTTCTCTCCTCTGCTCCAGCATCACACAATAGGAGGAGACGTCATCCCATAAAGTCCTAAATTGAAATTCTCCTGAAATCCAGAAGAGTGGCTACTGCATGAATGAAGCAGAAAGATTTTGAGATTGTAAACACCACTTTGCAAAACTGCACTGCTCAGAACTTTCCATCTGATGACATCAAAGCACCTCACTAAACCCAAGGAATTGACTCCTGTGAGGCAGGCAAGTATTGTTATGCCTCTTTTTGGATGCAGAAACTGAGGCACAGGATAATGTAAGATCCTTAGCCACTTTTTTTTTTAATCAGTGGAAAAACTCCCCTGGAGACCAAGCCTTAAGTGATGGTCCCATGTCACACTGGATGTGTGTGACAGGAAGGCCATTGAGAAAACCTCTCATCGTCACATTGCTAGCAGAGGGGAGCACAGGCCACTGGCTGCATTGAGGTGGGGAGATCACCCTGAGACCCCAGATTCCCCTAGTACAGGATCTCAGCAGTGAGGCTGCACCTGACCCTGCCCCTCTTGGCCAGGCACACCAGGTGGGGCTGGGAAGGTTCAGCACAGCATGAGCCATGAGTGCAGGGGGGAATTGTGGGGTAATCTGGGTGTGGGGGGGCTCAGTGGGAGATCTGGAGGCACACAGGCTCACTGGGGGGTTCTGGTGTAGGGCAATGGGACGCTGGCTGAGCTCCGTGGAGGAGTCGAGGGGAGGTGGGCTTTGGTGGGGTGCTGAGGAAGGGGGATTCATTTCAGAGGGTAGGGGTCCAGGTGCAACTTGCTGGGGCTCAATGGGCTGGGGATGTGGGGAGCTTGCTGGGTCAGTCCAGGTGTAGGGGAGCCGGGCTGGTCAGGGTTACATGGGCCTGCTTAACCAGGGAACCCAGCTGGTGCTGAGGGAACACTGCATGGCAACTGGACTCCTTTTTTCCCCCCGATTCCTCATCCCCTTTTCTTCCCACTCTCCTCATTCCTTCGCCACTGGCTC